AAGAGAGAGGTAATTCTGATTTAAAATAGGAGAGTGAAAATTATAACATATTTATCCAGAACTTACTATATATCAGGACTTTTCTAAGTACTTTGCTTATATTAATTTAGTAATTCTCATAAGAACCCTATAAGATACCCATTATTATCTCCTCTTTACAGATGGGTAAACGGAGATGCATAAAAGTATGTGACATTTGACCAAAATCATGCAACAAATACATGCTAGGGTCAGGATTCCAACCTAGGAACTTCAGAGTCTATGGAGTACTTCCCTAATAAGTTCACCAAAATCTTAAGACCAAAATAATACAGAATTCTTGGCCAATGATAAGACAATTGAAATTTGGGTTGTTCTTACTATGCATCAAGCACTGTAGAGAGAATCTACATATATCAACTCACCCAATCCTCACCAACAACTTTAGGACTTATTGCTATAAATTTTACTATTCTGTAGATGAGGGTAAGGCTTAGAGAAGTTTTTGTTTTGCTGAAAGTTTTATAGCTATTAAGTGGTTAGTATAGTTTCAAACTCAAGCAGCCTCAATTTAGGGTTCATATCTTCTACTGTGATACCATGAATATGAGCAAAGAGAACAATCTGAGCTCTATCAAATTAAGGGATGATTCTGGAGCATATAGGATTCTGAAAAATTCAACAATGAGGTCCAGAACAGGATTTATCATCATAATGGGCTACAGAAGAAGTATCCAGAATATGTGGCTCTCAGTGAGAACTAACCTCCAGCTTTTACACCCACACATACCCAGTTTCTACATCCATGCAATACACCTGAGTGGCCTACTAGCATGCTATTTCTGCTTTAATAAATCATCCCTCTGGAAGTAGTTTATGTTTTTTTGTTTTGTTTTTTTTACATTTGAAATTTTGCTGATACGAAGATGATTTACTAGAAGTTTTGGGCCAGACAATTCCTTTTTGTGGGGAATGCCCTGCACACTGTAGCATATTTATCAGCATCCCTGGCCTCTGGTTACAAGTGGCACTAACCCCTCCTCCCAGTTATGACAACTTCTAAATTTCCCCCTAAAGATCAAAATCATCTCCAGCTGAGAATGACTGATCTAAGGAGAAAGGGTGGACAAGGTAACTTCTCAGGTCATATGGGAAAGTGCTTTTAGTTTCAGGACAGTATAGGTATTGGATAACTACTGAATGAATGGTTCATAAGGCAGCAAGTTGCTTTTCATTGGCCCCTAACAATCAGGAAACACTAAGAAGTAAGAGAACAGTCAGACCCAGAAAGGGGAGTCTTCTTATCCTGTTCAAACACGTCCCACTGATGACACCACCACAGTATGGGGAGTTGTATGATTCTACATCACCCTGAAACTTCTCCTGAACCTCACAAGACTTACTTCTTGGACCATATGAGAAACACAACATCTTAGAGCAGAGCTTTCACAATAGTTGGAGTGTGTGCTGCTATATCCTAGAAAGTTCTCTCCTATGTGTCCTGGGCTTTACTACTTGAACTTCTTCTATCAGGAAGAGTGGAGATTGCCAGGTAAAGGGAGTTAGCTAGGATTGATTTCAAATTCCCAAGAAAATACCTGGAGATAAAGGAATGTGGGCTTGTCTGGCTGCAGTGGAATGATTCAGTCATCTAAAGCAGTAGTGGGGATGTGGGGGGAGATGCCAAGTGATGGGTTCCAGACTGGTTCTTCTCACACATGGAACATGGAAGCCACTTAACAAAGTGCCTGGAATGTAAGTGACATTTTCATATTTAAATGGACTGGGGGTTTTTCCCCGTGTCTCTTCTTGAGCAAAGACATTGATATTTTGTGTGCTGGTGAATTTATATGGTCATTTGTGCACTATCTAAAATCATGTTAAAAACTACTAGTGGTATGCACACCAAACATAAGGTAGATGGTTGAACAACGAAAAAAAGAGGGAAAAATCAAAGATCGCTGGTGGTAGCTGTGGTGGAAGGGGGATGAAGCAAAGTAGATCTGAATATTAGGTGTCAGTGATTAATATTCTAAGTGAAAGTGACTAGGACAAAGCTCCCTTCTGAAGGGGCCAGGCAAATACTGAATCAGCATGAGTCTGTCTCTCTCTCTCTTTTTCTTTCTCTCTCTCTCTATCTATCTATCTATCTATCTATCTATTCACACACATATACACGTACACACATATATATACATACATATATATGCAGTTTGTCATTGATGTAAACTGAGTGAACATATCTAAGGAGATATCCTTGCATGATTGTAAAGGATCTTAGACATACAAAGTGCCTTTTCCTTCTGAAATACTGTAAATCATTCTGAGAAATTTGACCCTGCAAAATTCCAAAATATTCTTGCCTGTACTTGATGTGGGCTAAACTTCTGTTCTCAATAACATCAATGAATTTTCATTTACAATCATTGTATGTGGGTCTTCTTCCTCAGCCCACACAAAACAGAGCTACCAGCTGTGGGGTTGAGGGGGGTGTCCATATCCACATATGCAGAGTATGTTGGTAACTATACTTTTCTTCCTAACTTCAAGCACAGGGTGGCCGAGGAGCATGTGTCTGTATTTAATTAATCTGTATTTGTCACCTCTCTTTCCCAGGCACATTGCTTAGTGGCCTTGGAGGACTGTGTAAACGTGTGTGTGAACTGCCATCTGATTGGGTTCCAGCAAATCTATCGACTTTTACATTGACAGAAGCAGGAGTCACCAGCCTCAAATGGAAATTTTATGCTCTTTTCCTTGAGGGAGTCTGTTTTTCTCTTTCCATAGCTTCTCCAGCCACTTTCCCAGTTCCTGCAGCTCTATTCCTGGAGGCCATGCTGGCTCTTTATGATGCAAAGTGAGGGGAAATTTTTAAAATAAGAATTCCACTCCTTGAAAAATGACCTACTAAAGAAACTTACTAAAAATCTGAGGTAAGTCCTATCCAGTTTGGCTCAGTGGATAGAGCATCAGCCTGCAGACTGAAAGGTTCCAGGTTCAATTCCGGTCAAGGGCATGTACCTTGGTTGTGGGCACATCCCCAGTAGGAGGTGTGCAGGAGGCAGCTGATCAATGTTTCTCTCTCATCGATCTTTCTAACTCTCTATCCCTCTCCCTTTCTCTCTGTAAAAAATTAATAAAATATATTTTAAAAAATCTGAGGTAAACAGGGCAGCAAAATTACAACAACAAAACCAACGTACGAAGTATATGTTTGTGTAATAATGTTGATGCTAACCTGAGCGTCTAAGTTGTATTTATAATCTTCATCATATATAGAAAATCAGTGACTAGAATGATCTTTCTGGGTAAAGTGAATCCTGGAACCAGACTTGGGTTTCCCTGAGAATCTTGCTTGAGAATGGTATTCGTTTGGGGGTCATTTCTACTCTAGCTACAGGTGATCCTCTCCATAAAATTGTTAGCAGGGGTCAGCAAACTTTTTCTGTAGAAGGCCAGAGAGTGAATCATTTTGGCTTTGGCTTTGCAGGCAGCCTGGTCCCTGTTATAGCTTCTCTGCTGTTGTGGCATGAAAGCAGCTGAGGACACTATGCAAATGAGTGAGTGCAGCCTGGTTCTGTGAAACTTCATTCATTGAAGCAGGTTGTAGACCAGACTTGTCTCTGAGCCACCATTTGTCAATCCTGTTCTCAAAGATAGAGGTGAAACCGTTTACATGCCCCATATCTGGACTTGAAATTGAATGATGGGTCCATTTCAATAATCAGATCTGTCTTGAGGTAAAATTAGTAATCTTAAAATAAGTATCTCACAATTGCCTTTACTTCAAATTATGTTTTAGAAGAAGAGAGGTGGTAATGGGTTTAGGGTTGGAATACTATAGTCACAGAGGACAGTACAGGGAAAAGGAGAGAATGATAGTCAGAAAATTATAACCAGGTATGAGAAGTCATAAAATTGATGTGTAGACAACATTTAGGCATAATTTTATGCATTGGTATGAACAGAATGCTGAGACATCTCTAGAGCTCATGTTTTGGTACAACAATAAGCCTCATCCTGGTTGAGACTTCACTCTGAGATGGGCAGGCTGGGGCCTAATTACAGCCCTCTGATTGCATGTCCTTCTCTCTCAGACCTGTACTGCCTTACTATCTATGTGGGAGAATTGGGTCCTGGCACAAGGCTTCTCTTTGGCCACAAGGAGGAGCTATGACTCTACTGAGATGCAGGGAGCTCTGAGGGAGGGTTGAAGAAACTCCCTGGATGGGAGAGGGTTAAGGGCAAGTCTGGTTTTGTGTACAACACGGAAGAATGGGGTTGGCAGAGGCTGGGAGTCAGTACTGATATGTGAGGGGTTAAATACAGAGTGTTCTGCTCTGTGTTGATCTGCAGGTGTTTCTGCCCCAGCCTGTACCTCCAGACCAGTTGCACGGCAGCCTGCAGGAAGTTAGAAGGAAGAGGGGTTTGAGGTGGGGACAATGGAGCCCACAGGCAGATGCAGGTGGCGGATATTCCTGAGACAACGAGAAGGCTGGGACTAGGGTTGGGGTTCAACATTCTGTTCATACCAATGCATAAAATTATACCTAAATGCTGTCCACCTCCTCTCAGCTCAGTCCAGCCTGCTGGGATGGGAGCTCCTGGACTCAGGCACTGAGAGGCCAGAAGTTTCTTGGGATCTTGCAGAGATTACAATAATTTAGGGATGTCTATTTATTGGCCAGAGGAGCCCTAGAGCCACACGTCCCTCACTCCAGATTATAGGAACAGTTTCATTCTTGTCCCTCTGCCTGGTGGTCTTCTGAGTTCTGGAGCAGGAAATGATAGGAAGCCCTTCTGGATCTGATGAAATGGTTCTATCAAAATACCATCAACAAATTTTCTTCTGGTCCATATCTCCAATCCAATGACCCATGACAGCTAGAATTGTCCAGACTCAAGAACACTTGATACCACAACACCTAGAGATAGAAAAGATACACATTCACATCCCAGATCTGAAAGGAGCTTCTCATTTTGCTTTCACTCAAGGCTCTTGATGTGTTTTTTGTTGTTGTTTTGTTTTGTTTTTAACTTTTGGAATTTTCCTTATTTCTTAAAAATCTTGGCAGTTCACAAAATTATATTTTATGTCAATTCTCGCTGTATGTAGAAGAAGGAAGTTTCAGAATATCTATTCTACCTAACTGTCCAAAAGTGAAAGCCTAGCTCACAAGCAGTTTAACAGAAAAATGACTAGTCCTTTTGTGAAAGTTGATTTTGTAATTCGTCTTAGAATGAAACACAGGAATCCGCTAAAGACAACCAATTCATTTGTCTATGCTTGGATAGCAATTATTTAACTTTCTGTATTATGAGCAACTGTCAACATCTGTTGAAAGTTATAAACATTAGAAACTGCAGGAAAACATACTTCACACTTCTAAAGTCAATATTGAATATTCTATGTGAGTAACTTTAACTCAAGGCTTGAGAATTCAGTATCCTCCTGAACCTCCCTCACTCCACAAAACATCTATAGCTTCTTCCAACTAATAAAAATAAGGTGACACATAATCACATTTGAAAGTTAATAAATAATGCCCACACACCATAGTAGTGCATTTAATTTTTGTTAATTATTGCTCATATTACTTTCAAATAACTTGAAGATTAAATATTTATAATTCATACAATAGTAGAAATAGTAAGCATAAATATTTTGACTGGCTAAATGAAATTTCAAAAGCTAAGGAGGCCAATAGCATGAACTGATGATTTATGAAGGTGAATGACCTGTGGGAGCAGACTGTCCCATCTGGTTTTGATCTGGATTTTCATTTGGAAAACTGATGGCCATTGGTCCACCTGAGGCATATGACCTCAAGAGTCAATGTGTGCCCAGCTGGTGCAGCTCATGGCAGAGCACTGAGCCAGGAACCAAGAGGTCATTGGTTTGAATCTCAGTCAGGGCACATGCCTGAGTTGCGGGCTCAATCCCCTATGAGGGGTGTGCAGGAGGCAGCTGATCAATGATGTTTTTCATTGATGTTCCCATCTCTCTATCACTCTATCTTCAAAAATTCAATAAAATATATATATTTTTAAAAAGAGTCAATGCGTATGCTGACTTTGTATTTTTATCAGAAAGAAAAGGGACTTTTTCAAGGTCAGAGCCACCAATAACTAAGAGCCAGTTGAGCAGAATGAAAGGGGAGTCATGGCCCTTGTCCCCTAGCAGACCCTAGAAATCAGTTCTGAGCACCAGTGAGAAGAGAGACTAAGTCTGATGTAACTTTAATCTTCACGGAGCTCTATGTCCAGGTAACTAAATTTGATAGAACTAGACACAAGACATTTTCCTTCTCTGCCCTTATCCCAGACCACACAGCCTGGTCTTCCCGCTGAGTTCTCGGGGAATTGGTGGATGGAGAAAGCTCTGCCAAGTGGAGTTGTGTCCTTGTTAAAGTCACAAAAAGTGGAGGCAATGATGGAGGTCTTGCTTCTAGAATGAAAAGAAGATTCAACTTTTAAAGATCCCAACATACACATCTTTTCTCATGAATACCCAAACTGTTGGGAGCTGTTCAAATATAAGCAGGAGTTTAATATTGGACAACCCCAACTATGACCAATGTCCACAATAGGCATCCTGCTATCATCCAGCCCACTACCCCTTTGTTCCAGTTCTTCTTGTACCTCATCCCCACAGGTTGTAGGACTCCCTACCTTTCTGTGAATGAAGTTATCTTCATGCGAAATTTATTGCATATTTCTTCCCTTTTTAACTTTTGTGCTGCAATCAAACCCAACATTTCCCAAGCACCCAGTGACAGTTCTTTCTGTGGAGGATTTCCCTGCAAAAAGGGGCAGAGAATCCATTTCTTTATGTCATCCTATCCTTTGGAAAATTCTTAATAGGCAACAAAAAATTCTTGTTTTCTACCTTTCCTGTTGAAAATGTAAGTCAACAACCATGACTAACCCTATGCCATGTGACACATGTTTCTTTATAGCAGTTTCATCTACATCCTGTTGGCCTATGTGCAGCTGATTTTTTAAGAGCATTTGCAAAAAACACTTAAGTAAATAATTCATCTGAAATCTACTCATTGACCATAGTCACGCCTTCTTATGTGCAGAATTAGTATATATGTAGCCCCTTATCCATGTTTTTTACTATTGGTTTCCTCCCTCCCTTTCTCCCTCGCTCTACTCCCCTCTCTCCCTTTCTTTGGAAAGCTGCACATATAAGCTATGTGGTACAATGAAGTAGGTTCTTGGTACACTGGATGCCCAGTTTTATACCCATGGCAACATCTAGGGCTATCTCTGGTTGGGGTCATACAACTTTAAAACTGGACAGAGACTGGGAAATTATGTGTGTCAGCCCATTGTTTTATAGATGAGGAAATGAGACACCATGCGAAGGACATTATTTAACTGTGTTAATATTGGTTATACTCCTAACCTCCATATGGCACCTGTTTTATATTTCTAGTCTAGGGGAATCTCTTGAGGTTTTTTTTTTTTTTTATCAGAATATAAGCATCATGAGAGTGAGCATATTGTCTTATACATGATTTGAAACTAAGAAGCCATTCAATGACCACCAACAAATCAAGCAAGCTAGACATTCCAGCAAGGATGGTGGTGATTTCTGATTTGTTCACTACTGTATCTCTAGTGCTTGTTTTGTGTTCAGTTAAAAAAAAGAAAAAGAAAAAAGAACACCACGGGGCAGCTGTTTTTGAAGGGGTTTTACAAGGAATTGACAGTGTTTCCAAACAGTGTTTGTGTGAGAGAGACAGAAACAGAAAGAGAGAGAGGGAGAAGGGGAGAGAGGTAGAGGGAGGGGGAGGGAAGGAAAGAGAGAGATAGGAGAGAGAGAGAGAGAGAGAGAGAGAGAGAGAGAGAGAGAGAGAGAGAGAGAGACCAACCTATGTGGCTCTGTGGCAGTCCTGGTTCCCTGGCCTTACCCCAGTCTTTGCTGACTTGGGTTTATTAAGGGCTGAGAACTGTGCCTTGTTGACCACTAGGAGGTGCTGTGGCCCCACCAAAACTTTTGAGGTTGGTCAAGGACAGGTAGAAAGAATAAAGGAGAAGCTGGGCTTCAAGAAGGGTACAATTTGGCAATATCTGGAGATATTTTTGCTTGTCATAACTGGGGGGGGGGGGGGGGGGGGAGACAGTGCTATTGGCATGTAGTACATAGAGACCAGAGGTGCTGCTAAACATTCTGTCTTCACAGGACAGCCTCCCCAACAAAGGATTATCCTGTGCAATATGTCAGTAGTGCTGAGGCTGAGAAACCCTAGGCTAGACACTGAGTTGTAAACTGTTACCAAAAGAGAAGGTGACTTATAGACAATTCAAGGACAGTCAAATCAATCCACTTACATTTCCACAACTCCATGCTGTTACTCGCCTCTATCACTTCTTTACTCGTATCACATCTGACTTCTAACTCCCTAGCAGCCCCTTATTCCCCACATTGCTCTGGTCCCTGGACAGATAAGAAAATCACAGGGGGCAGGGCTGCAGTTTGCCCCTTCAATAAACTCAAGGACTCATTAACTGGATTTGCTCCTAACTAGCATCAATCAAGCAATGGGAAATGGCCTATAGCTGGTTCTCAGGGGGCACCTCATAGGCAGTGTCCCACAACTGACACAATGTCTGAGTGCAAGTCAGATATGCAGAGGAGGCAAGATGTGGGTGGTATCATCCTGCATTATTGTGAAGGAGTCCAGGCAGACTCTGAGATGGGGCGTAAGAGGGAGAGAAAGAGAGGAAGTGGCCAGATGCTAAGGCAGGGACAGGAGAGGGAGGCAGCTGTTGGCATAAGGATGATGGCAGAGAAACATCCTTGAGACAACATGCCCACCCACTCAAACTGTCCCTAGAAATCCCAAATTCCTTTGAAAAGAGCAAGTGTAGGAGGTGAAAAAGGAAGAGAACGCATGTGAGGAGAGCTCGAGAATTGGGAAATCATTCTAGGTTGTGACGTTGCAGCAACGCACCTCTCAGGGCTTGGAGCACTGTAGCCTGGTCTTCTTACCACCGGAGAGCAGAATCCTGGGCTAAGGCCTTGCCTGTATGCCCCGAATCCACCATGGGCTCCAGGCTCCTGTGCTGTGTGGCCCTCTGCTTCCTGGGAGCAGGTAAGTGAGGGGCCCAGGTGGCATGATCCATTCTGAGTCTCTACGCCCTTTCACATCTCCAGCAACAGGCTGCCTCCTAGGACTTGTCTGAATTCTGTTTCTTTTCTTCTCAGGTTCCCTGGACACAGCAGTTTTCCAGACTCCAAAATACCTCATTGCACGGGTAGGGGATAAGAAGTCCCTAAATTGTGAACAAAAGCTGAACCATGATGCTATGTACTGGTATAAGCAGGACTCCAAGAAATTGCTGAAGATTATGTTTTCCTACAATAATAAGGCGCTCATTCTAAATGAGACAATTCCAAGTCGTTTCTTACCTAAATCTTCCGACAAAGCTCATTTGAAACTTCAGATCAGCTCCTTGGAGCCAGGTGACTCTGCCGTGTATCTCTGTGCTAGCAGCCAAGACACAGCCCTGCAAAGTCACTGCCTCCCTGTGCACAAACCTGCTGGCACGGCCAGGAAGTTGTGGGAACAACATGTTCACCCAACACATCCTGCTGGGAGACCCCTGCCTGGAGTTTCATCTGTAGTATAGCTCACAGTGCCTAATAGGGTAGTTCTCAGTTTGTATGCTCAAAAGTCTTCCCAATTCTGCTCATCAGCTTGAGCAGGGAATTGCTAATAAATTTACTGAAGTACTCAGGACTCTTCAAACAAATAATGGCCCTGTCACAGACACTGAAGATCTTAACAGATGGAAGAAGCTATTCCTTTCTTTGCTCTTATACATCTTATACATGATATGCATATTATACATAAGAATATTATTTTTTTTAAACACTTCTGGTGAAAAATGTTTGATGAGTGAAAACTAAAAGGAGAGCTGAAGTTTCTAAGACCAAAAGGAAATTTAGATTATCAGTGAGTTCCCTGGTTAATATAAAAAAATATTTGAAGAAGCATGAAATCCATGGTAATAGATAAACTAGAAAGCAAGGCTAAGGCAGAAGAGCCACTAGAGGTACACTTGTGCATTACAGACTCTCTTTCAGAAGGATGACCAGTATGATTGTTCCTAATTCTGATTGTCATCTCAGAAGTGTCCTCCAGAGAAGACAGTAGCCAGATGATGGAGAATATTATGAGACATGTAAAGAAAAAAAATGGGCACAAATCTTTAGGCAGCAGCTAAGCTAGTCTTTGATCCTACCTTAAGTGAGATAACATGATAAATTTTTATTTTGGTACAATAACAATGGTAGCAGTATGGGTCAAAAGGGGAATAGATTTTGGGTGGAATGAACTACTAAAGAGACTCCTAAATTTTCTACATGAAAGATTATAAAGGGATTTATGTGGTACATTGTGGGTGATCTAGAATAGAGACTGGATTATGTTATCTTATATAATAAAAGCCAAATATGCAAATCAACCGAACAGCATAATGACCAGTCGTTATGATGCACACTGACCACCAGGGGGAAGACACTCAATGTAGGAGCTGCCCCCAACCTGCAGGCCCCAGGCCAGCCAAGGTGGATGCCAGTGGAGATCCCCCAATTGCCCCTCCATCACCCCACAGATCATCCCTGATCGCCAGCCAGGCCTAGGGACCCTATCTGTGCATGAATTTCATGTACTGGGCCTCTAGTGTTCTTATAAAGAGTGTTAGGATTTATCCTGGCAGGTTTAAATGCGGGGTTTGTTTTAGTTTGTCCCTTCTTTTTTTTTCTTCTTCTTTTTTTTGGGGGGTTTGAGGGGGGGCTGGCATTTGTCCTTATTACTAGTGCATGGCCTTTCTGGGGTCTCAGTGGGAATCGCAGCATATTCGCCAATATGACTATCTTCTGAAATCTCAGCTCTCCAGCCTTTCACCACCTGTTTTCCCCTGAGCCTTCTAGAGTCCATCATGTGCATATACATTAGAAACTGGCCAAGAAAAAGGGATTTCCTTACATGTATTCTTGGGGCTCCTTTTCAGTACTCTATACCCCAAATCTGAGATGTCTTGGAATCAGTTATGTCTTTCCTAATTACTTGCAAGCAACATATGCCATTACTATTTTAAATAGACAATGTTTGCTTGAATATACTTCTCTATTAACTATTCACTTTTTCACTATTCCTTCATGCAATTCAGACCACCCTTAGATTATTTTCTTTCTTTAGGAACATTCCCTAATTCAAATAACTTAAACTTACTTTTCAGCTACCACTTGCTTTGGGAAATATTTATTTTAGTTAATGTTTCAGGGCAACAGAGTTTTTCACTTTCGTTGTTTGAGGTTTCTATTTAAATTCTGTGTTTGTTTGTTTTTTGTCATCCTTGGAATTTTTCTTATTTATTGGGAGCCAAACAATGCAATGAAATTCTATTTATTCAGACTTTTGTTGTTTCATATAGAGGGGCCAATTGGAGTGTCTTCTTGTTATAATTGTAATAACAATAATTGTAGCATTTTAATGAGGGCTAATTTTAGGTTCTTATTTGAGAATGGAATATCTCCAACTAGAGTGGATTGGAGGCCCATTATACTGAGAATGTAGTATACACAACATTCTCAGGGGGAGAATGTCCTACCCCCTTTGCTTAAATTCTTTGCATTTTTTACAGGCCACATTAAAAATCTCATAAAATTTGTCACATTATAAAATGCTAATATTTTCCTTCTGACCCAGCACATCTCTAAGCTAAAAGGAATTTAATCATCAACTCTTGACTTAAAGCATGTATAACTACCCTCCTTCCCTCCAACAGAGATAGATATAAATTCTTGTTACTCTAGCTTGGTAATAAATACCTAACATAATAATAAATGGTAAAAATCATTTAGCAGTTATAGATAATTTCATTTTCATGTTTATTCATACATTTACATTTTCTAAAATAAAAATTCAATGTTGGTAAAATGGCACATATAAAAAATAGGTGATATTCTAATAACTAATCATATAAAAAGCACAAACAGGTAATTTGTTTAGTGAAGCAGAAATGGCTCACAGTAGGTCATCCTAGCTAGCCCCAAATTGGAAAGCCATCTTATAGAAATGATGGGCCTGGTTTGATTTCTAACATTTTAGCAGTGGACAGGTCGCTGGGGGTCATATCATTGCAGTTCCTGTTATGTAATAGTTGAATAGAATGTCACACATATAAAGTGATTTAATCACTTGAATGCAGAATACATTTCTCAAACATCATATGATATATTTTATTCCCTGGTCATTATCTGTGAGTGTGTTTGATGACCTCACTGCAGTAGAGTTGTGTGGGTGAATATGACGTTTTGTGCTTGTTCATAGCACTTGGTCAGTGAACATTTGTTGAACCAGTCAAGCTGGCCTATAAGCTCCATATAGCCTGGGATGGCATCTGCAGGGCTGTGTTTTGTTTATTACTAAGAACCCAGACATAGCCGATCTCTGTTGAGCAAACATTGACTGCCCTAGGTGGATGAGTGGTACTGTTGCCAACTATTTTTGTTATTTTAGATGTTTCTTTCCTCATCAAATTTCCCTAGATTTTCATATCCAGCCTATGGAATGAGGAATTGGTCTGGATTGCGGATTCTGGGCTGGCCAGAGGCCTGAGATCTGGGGGATATGCTGCTTTGGCCACAAGGAGGAGCTGTGGTTCTATTGAAACCTCTGAAATGGGGTGAAGGGAAGGGACTGGGAGTCAGTGGAGGGGTGGGATGAGGAGGGAAGCTAGGCTTTGAGATTCCATCTTTATGTCCTATGGGGGCATCAGTTGCAGACATCCCAACAATATTAAACTAAAATCTTTTTCAAATTGATTTCCCTTTGTTTTGCACCAATGCCTGTGTTCTCTTTTAGCAACCTGTTTGCTCTAAGCCCAGCCAAGCCTTGTACCCTCAATACAGAGACAGACACTGATTGTCCCTTCTATGGTTCCCTCAGCACCCTTCCCAGTGTCTGGCTCTGGGCCTGCATCACAATCCTGCACTTTAAATGATGGGCACTATTCCATCCAATCTACCTCCCTCTGTGCAGCTGGGCAAAGACCTCCAATGAGCCTAGACACTGAGGGGAAATGGAATTTTGAGCGATGTCCTGCCTGACTGAGCAGAGAAGGAAGGAGGAAATGGTCTGTGGCTGAGAGGAGTCCTGGAAGGGAGGAGGATAGAGAAACTGTGTAATGAGGAAGGCAGCTAATAGCAAAAGAGCAGCTGCCAGAGGAATAACTCATTCTGGTCCATTGAAATCCATCCTTTATCAGAATCTATATAAGGCATGAAAAGAGAAGGCAGGACTGTCCCCTGTGGCAAGAGAAACTGTCAGGGACAATGACATCATAGGCAGAAGCACCAACCAAGGCCAAAGAAACCAGAGCCCAGCCCCCCTGCCAGAATATTCCAATTAGAAGATGCCACTCATTCTGATTCCATCATGGGCTGCAAGCTGCTCTACTGTGTGGCCTTCTGTGTCCTGAGAACAGGTGAGTGCTGGGCTCAAATGGCTGTCCTTGGGTTCCAAGCCATTCCCCTGTGGCTGCAGCAAAACCCTTCTTTCTGGGCTTTGTCTGAATTTTGTCCCTTTTCCCCCAACAGTCCTCATGGACACTGGAATTACTCAGACGCCAAGATACCTGGTCATGGGAATGAGAAATAAGAAGACTTTGGAATGCAAACAACATCTGGGGCATAATTCTATGTATTGGTATAAACAGAGTGCTCAGAAGCCACTGGAGCTCATGTTTATGTACAACTATAAGGAACTCGTTGAAAATAACACTGTCCCAAGACGCTTCTTACCCAACTGCTCAGACAGCTCTCAGTTATACCTTTACGTGGATGCCCTGAAGCCAGAAGACTCCGCCGTGTACTTCTGTGCTAGCAGCAAGGACACAGCCTTGCAGAGTCACCTTTTGCCTGTGCAGAAACCTCCTGGGTCCAGTCAGGAAACTGTGGGCAACCAAGGCTCAGTTCAGCATTTCCCATGAGAGCCCAGACAGAAATCTCCGAGTACAGTTCTGCCTGTCACTTCACTGGCTATGGCAATGTTAAATCCCATGCAGACACCAACAGCCTGCGGTTGGCCTTGTCTTGAACATGACTATGCCTGGACAGAAAGATTCAAGTTCTTCATTTTCTTCCTATCAGCTTGTTCCCTGGGAAATCTTTCATGAGGCACCTCACACCCTGGTCACAGCGGGCCTACCAAGCCTGCTTCTAATAGATATCTTTCCCTGACTGCTCTTTCCAACCAAGTTAGGCCAAGACCACAGCCCTGATCCCAGCTCCAGATGTGCTTAGACCTTTTCCAAAACACCTCCTTCCCACTGCTGAGGGTAATAGTTTCCTCATCCAGTGTGGTTGTTTTTCCCTTCAGTCTCTTGATCAGAACTGTGAGTCACAGAGTCCATGCCTCTAGATCGTGGCTCTGAATTGGCTGTTGGTGAAGACAGTGGATCCTGCTTGTGTGTTTAGTCAGGTCTTCACACCCAGCCTAGCTGTCCTAAAGGCCACATTCTCCAAGGACCCTTCTGCAGCTACAGTATTTCACTTAAGGCCTGCGGGCCAGCATGCTCCAGGACACATGGGGCTGAGCCAGGGCATCACGTGTCTGCACAGGCAGTAAGGTTCAGGGTGCCAGCCCTTACCTAAGAACACCAAAGCATTGAGCTGGGGAACACCCCCACTCCCCAACCTGCCATGTGTACCGGCTGCTCTGTGTTGTGGCCTTGGGAGCTGTTGAGTCCAAGAAACAGAAGGAGACTTTGGATGTAGGCTTTGCAATTTCAGATTCTTAGTATTTCCTTCACCTGAACAATGAACAGAAGCCATGAATGTGCAAGTTAAGCAGATGCCAAGATCCCTATTGTAGAGATAAAAACGAAGCTGGTCTTTGAATGTTCTTAGAAAGTGAACCACTTGCCAATGTACTGGTGTCAACAAAACCCAGGACCAGGCCTAAGACTGATCTATTGGCCAGTGTTGAATTTATAGGCAAAGGAGATGTGCTTAAGGGTACCTGTTCAGAAAAACAAAGTTACCATTAAAAATTCCCTCTAATAGAGTGTAAGCAAGCTAGACTTGACCCTTTACCCTGGATTGGGTATTTGTCCTCTACTTTCAGTAACAGGGGTGCACAGCTATAGTCACTCGTGGTCCATGCACTCTCTCAATCACCAACTCCAGCTCCTGGGAGTCTTTCTGTGCATTCTGGTTCTGCAGTTGACTCCTTATCAGATTCTGTTTTCCCAAGTCCCTTTGTTTACTTTTTATTTATTCAGACTGGCCACTACCTCCTAGCAGACTAAATAGAGAGGGCTAGAATATTTTATTTTCTACTTGGGCATCAGAGAACAACTTAGAGAAAATTAATTACATACACATGCATGCTCACATCTGGGGAAATGGGCATTATATTATTATCAATGAACAGAGGCAAGAGAGGATTTCTGAAAAGAGAGTAGAAAAAAAATTCTCCATCAGTATGGGAACAACTAATATTATTTTTTAAGTTGGGGGGGGGTTGCGAGTGCCCCACATTGGGCTGCCAGTTGCAAGTGTCCCCCCCACAACCTGCGCAAGGTTCAGGGTTCAGGTTCAGAGTTCGGGCTCTGGAGGAGGCAGCACACAAATGAAAAAGACTAGACAAGATAATATTAATTTGGGAATTGGGGGTCAGGTGGAAGCCCAAAAGAGGACTATGGTTTGCTCCGTCCTTTTGATCCCTTTTATTCAGGTTTGGGATCCACCTATAGCCCTTAGGCAGGTAATTCCAGTAATAGCTCCATGATAGCCCCTCAGCAAGGATTTACATAAGACTAAAAAGTGGAAGTTGCTTCAGCTCCCTTTGTCTACAAGAGACAATGGGTGTATGGCTCTGACCCTTGCCAGAGCCTCAAAGTTGACCAGCCTTCCAGGTTCCTTGTCTACACCTCTCTGCTAGTGAAGGTAATGGGCAGCTTCCAACAGGTGTTAAGCTGATTAGCGGGTACCTTGCAAAGAGGCCTGTCTAAATTATCTGCCTTAAACTAGCTGTTGGAGTCATCAAAGATAAAACCACTTCTGCTACCTTGCTGGCATGACTCAGTGGTTGAGGTTGAACTATGAACCAGGAGGTCACGGTTCAATTCCAGATCAAGGCATATACCTAGGTTGCAGGCTCAATCCCCAGTAGGGGGCATGCAGGAGGCAGCCAATCAATGATTCTCTCTCATGATAGATGTTTCTATCCCTCTCTCCCTCTCCTTTCCTCTCTGAAATCAATAAAAATATATATATTTTAAAAACAACTTCTGCTAATTATTAATCATCAAAAAATCCTTGGGATGCCCTAGCTAGTTCAACTCAGTGGATAGAGTATGCAGACTGAGGGGTCCCGGGTATGGTTTGAGCCAAGAGCAGAGCAAGTACCTTAGTTGAAAGCTTGATCTCTTGTCCTAGAAGGGGAACTTGTGGGAAGCAACCAATTGATGTGTATCTGTCACATTGATGTTGTTCTCTGTCTCTCCCCCACCCCTTTCCACTCTCTCTAAAAAAATCAATGGAAAAATATCCTCAAGTGAGAATTAACAACAACAAATCCTTGGGAATCTCTCTGCAGTCCACCTCCATGACCATTTTTTTTCCTCTTACAATAAAAAAATTTCAAATCAGATAGAACTGGATTTTTGTACCTTTAAATTAAAAAAGAAAAACACAGGGCAATAAGCAAATGAGAAAGTCATTCCTAATTTAAACACATCTTAAAACTCTTGCCCTCTTATATTGTGGCTAACTCTAAATCTTGGTTACTGCCAAAACACAGCACATGGGGGCACTGTGGAACTGCTGAGCTCCAGAAGTTTCTGGAGCAGAGCCTGGGGCCAAGAGGGTTAAGCAACAGCCTCGTTTGGTGTTTTTATCTGCTATAAGACTTAATACCATAAACCCCAATTTGCAGGTGCTGTCCCAGTCGAAAGTCATGAATTTCAACTGTGCAGAGATTAGGGGGGCTCTCTGAGCTTGCAAAGGAAAGTGAAGAGTGCAGAGCTGGTAGGAGGCAGCCTGCATGTCCTGGGAGCAGGGACAGGTAGAGGAACAATTGCCTCATAAAAAAGCAAAGGGTTTGTGGGGACCAGCATGCTACCTAAGCCCAGCCCACCTCCACCAGCCCCTCCAGCCACACATGTCATGCAAGAGGCTTTACAGGGTCTGACCGGTTTTTCTCAGTGGATAGAGCGTTGGCCTGCAGACTCAAGGGTCCCAGGCTCGATTCCGGTCTAGGGCATGTACCTTGGTTGTGGGCACATCCCCAGGAGGGGGTGTATAGGAGGCATCTGGTTGCTGTTTCTCTCTCATCAATGTTTCTGACTCTCTATCCCTCTTTCTTCCTCTCTGTAAAAAAATCAATAAAGTATACCGTATTTTTCGGACCATAAGATGCTCCGGACCATAAGACGCACCAGTTTTTAGAGAAGGGAAATGAAGAAAAAAAGATTCTGAAACAAATAGTGTCCTAAAATATTTTATGTGCATTAAAACCCAACATCACAGTCATAAACACATGTAATCAACCCTGTAAAATAAACAGCAGCATTTAGAACCATTTTAGAGCCGGGCAAGCACACAGAGACCACACAGAGCCGGGCAAGTAAAAAAACTTTTTTTTTAAAGTATATGTGTAGGCTATATTTGGACCATAAGACGCAGGGACTTTTTCCCCCCACTTCTGGGGGAAAAAAGTTCGTCTTATGGTCCGAAAAATACGGTATATTTTTTTTTTAAAAAAAAGAGGCTTTGCAGGACAAAGCAGGGTGCCTAGATCAGCTGATCCAGGGACCTGGCAAAGGAGGCCAGGCTCATGGGAACCATCAAAGACAATGACATCAAAGCAGTGACATCACTGCCTAACTTCCAATCAGAAGGTGCCCAGAACATTAGTTCTTAGAGGACCGGAACTCTGAGCAAGGAGACTCCTATCCAGTTTGCCCTCCCTGCCATGGGCTCCAGGCTCTTCTGCTGTGTGGCCCTTTGTCTGCTCGGAGCAGGTATGTCCGTGGCACATGTGGAACATCTGTTCTAACCTTGAATCCAAGGCAGCATCAGGGTCCCTCCCCTGTTCTTTTTCCAGCTTCTGTCTCCTTCCCTCACAGGCCCAGTGGTTTCGGAAGTCACTCAGACTCCAAGGCACCTGACAAAAGCCAGAGGACAGACAGTGACACTGGCATGTTCCCCTATCTCTGGGCATTTCTCTGTGTCTTGGTATCAACAGGCCCAGGGCCAGGGCCTTCACTTCCTCATTGAGTACTACAACAGGAAGGAGAGAGCAAAGGGAAACATCCCTGATCGATTCTCAGGGCAACAATTCAATGACTACAGCTCCAACCTGACCATGAGCTCGCTGGAGCCGAAGGACTCTGCCTTGTACCTCTGTGCCAGCAGCTTAGCACAGCCTTGCAGAGTCACCTGTGTTCTGTGCATAAACCTCCCTGGCCCAGGATGGAGCAACCGCAGTGCTGACAGGGCTGTGGGAACCTAGGGACACAGTGGCAACTCAGAGTGACGTGGGGCCGGCCTTGGGAAGTGCAGCCTCGGGCTCTTCTGAAACAAAGGCCAGAGGAAAGCTATTGACACTGAGATGTCCCTGAGAAGACAAAAAGATCTGGTCAAATGCTACATCAACATGGTCACTCCCAAATTACCTTCCTTGCCTGCCACTCTATGTGTAATGTAATAGCTCTCACCCTCTTTTGGGAGGAAGAATAGTTCATTTGAGGATCAAAATTGTTGTTTAAATGTGTAGTTTATAAGATAAAAAAACACAGGAATTTGTTTTACATAATTTATGAAAAGGAAATTGAAATTTGGGGGGAAATCTAATAGTAAGAAAGAAAATATAGCTTAAAGATGGTTGAAAATAGAAAGTGAAAAGTTTTGGGGAAAAAAAAAAACCTGTTATTTGTAACATGATCATTTTTCTCTTCCCTCCCAAAATTTTCAATGCCCAGAAAATATAAAGCAAGGCCTTATGCAACTGGCATCCCAGTGGTAAGCCCCAGGTGAGGCCATCAGCACACAAGATGATAATGTGAGAACACTGCAGTTGATTCTGACTTCTTTCTTCTTGATTTCTTATCCCAGTCTTGCCTTCTTGGGGTACAGTCAAGCACCTCTTAAAACACAAATGAGGTCATGCCCCCTGACTATAAACAGGCAAAAGCGCTCCAATTTCCCCACAAATAAATTCTGTTTTTCTGGAATAGCGTTCTAACACATCACCATCCTAATTCAGTGGCCTTCAGAGCATCTCTTCTTGGCAGTGTCAGGATGAGTCCTACTTTGTGACTAATCGCCTCTTTGCAACATTTCCTAAAACACGGGTGGCTGGGCGGCCTTTAAATCTTCTGCATTTGCTCTTGCTATTCCCATAGCATAGAAGGTCCTTCCCTTCTCCCCAGATACTACTCCTCTTTCAAGCATGGACTCAGCCATGCCTTCCTCTCGGCTTCTTGCCCTGACTTTTCACAATACTGTACTATTGATTAGTCTGCTCTGGCTACTCTAATAAAATGCCATAGACAGGGTGGCTTCAACTACAGACATTCATTTCCCCACAGTTCTGGAGGCTGGGAATCCAAGATTAAGAGGCTAGGGTAGGTTTCTGGGGAAGGTTCTGGTGTGCTCACATGGTCTTTCCTCTGTGCTTGCACAGGTATATAGAAAGAGCTCTCTGGGGTCTCTTCCTCTTTGATAAGGCCACTAGTCCTAACAGATTAGTGTCCCAACCTTCTTACCTCATTTCCCTTAACTATCTCCCTAGAGGCTCTATTTCCAGGTATACTGGCATTGGGGGGGGGGGGGAGGGAGGCGGCTAGACTTCAACATATGGATTAGGGAGGCAAATTTTCATTCATAACAACTACATTCTCTTTACTTTCATAGGAAAAACTAAATTATAATTAAAGCTCTTTGATACTTGTGAAATGAATAATAAATGAAAGAAATCAATGTCCCCTGAGATGTAACGCTGATCATTCTGGGCCAGCATGGCTTTCCACACTCCTAAGTGTGATCTCAGCAATGTGTTCTCATAGCCGGGATTGACGATGAGCCATTTAAAGTACCCTGAGTGAATCTAAAGCTGAAGATGCCACTGCTTTGTCAGGCACAGAGAAAAGTATGTTACAGTATATTTGTCCAGTTTGATGATCCTGTAAAAATATTTCCCACCCATAGACATGGCTCCATGAGGACATAAATGTGGGCCTGAGTTCAGCTTCAGAGAGTTCACAAGCCCTAAAGAACTAATTGAACAGGCAAACATTTTCTGGTGAGGCCAAGAGGTGGCCCACATTTGACACTGGAAGGTAAACGGTGTCCTGGGAGGTGGCAGGTGGGGTACCGTGGGCTGAGGGGTGGAGGTCAGCCAGGTGGGGAAGTTTAAGACAGAAATGAGTAGCTCTTCCCATTAGTTTTGCATCACTGGATACACTCATAGCTGAGAATCAGCCTCGCAAATAATTCTCTATGACTGAGTTTCAAACTTAATGACTGAGTAAATTTAAAAAGTTTACTTTAAAAATGTTTTTGCCCTTACAGCCCACCACACCTTTAGCTACATCTCTTGCCATCATCAAAGATATTTATCATAAAGGAGCCTGAAAAACTGATTTAAAAATTGTTGTACTCCGATGGGTACTTATTAGAGGTGCTTGTCACTGAATAGGGCTTGTAGGCAATTCTAGGTAATGACAGCATATGTCAGCCTGGATAGGTCTACTGGGTCTGCCTTAACTATAGCTCACTGGGAGGCATGGTGGACTCACAGTAAGGCTGTTTGTTTTAAGATGTTTTAAATAGATAAACTATATAATCCTTCTTTATATAAATGTGCTATCTAAAGGGTGGTAATAATTACTTTAAATACAAATTTGGAAATCTAGGGACCTGATTCATAGGAGGGGCTATGAAACAGACTGTTTCTTGGCTGGATCCACTGTTTAGTTGTATGACCTGTATTATTCTGGCTGTCTCTCCCATTTTTGCATACTGATTGCAGCAATTATTTCCTTCTTCATTGAAATGTTGGTTCATACAAACTTTTGCCTCCAAAACAAAGGGTGGATTTGAAGATCAACCCTAAATCAGCCAGGCTGGGAAAACAGTCGAACCAGGGAGTGGGTGGGGAGGGGACTCTAGGGGTGAGGGGATTTCTGCTCTTAATAGAGACAGATGTGAATGCATGTGACTGTGGATAGTCAGCCACTGGGAGGCGCTGTGGACCCACACTACTGTAAGCTGCCCTGGGAGGGGTTGAAGGAGTGGCCCAGGAGAGGACAGTTTAAGGGAACTTTGGGGCTCCATGCCTGCATTGGGGAAGCAGTTTGAGTTAATCAAACAGACCAATGCCTGTGGGCCCTGGGGCCTGTGGGAGTCACACAGACTCCTCACTGCCCAGGAAGTACAGATGGGCTTGAGCCTCAGTATGAACCAAGGAGGCAGTCTTCCTGAGGCAGCCTTCCCCTCCCAGGGGAAGGGGGTGAAGTAGGGGTTGGGGTTACAAGGGCTGGGGAGTTAGGCTCAGGTAAAGGAGAATAAGGGAAGTTGTAGGCACGTGGGGACAGCGCTACCTGCAGCCACCCTTTGCAGAGGGCCTGTGCAGGACAGGGAGTGGTGAATAGAGTAGTTGACCCTGGGGCCAAGGGGTACAGAGGGCCAGGAGGTGGCTTGCATGGAGAGTCACACAGAGCAGGGAAGACATCAGAGCAGTGATGTCATAGGCAAATGCTCCTATCAGGCACTGGGAGGTGCAGGACTTTAGACTGCTCACCCCAGGAGACTCCTCCCTGAGCCAGAAGATGTCTTGGGATGCTGCCATGGTCCCCAGGCTTCTCTGCTGTGTGGCCCTTTGTCTCCTGGGAGCAGGTGAGCTCTGGGCACTGCTTGTAAGCCTCTGATATGGGTTTGCCATCCCTGAAATACCAGCCTGCTGGTGATGGCGGCAGTGGGAGGCTTCTCTCTGCTCTGCCCTGAGCTCCCTCTGCCTCCTTTCCAACAGGCCCGGTAGATTCTGGAGTCACACAGACCCCAAAACACCTGATCAAAGCAAGAAAACAGCAAGTGACACTGACATGTTCCTATATCTCTGGGCACCTCTCCGTGTACTGGTACCAACAAGCCCAGAACCAGGGCCTCCAGTTCCTCACTGAGTATTACAACAAGGAGGAGAGAACAAAAGGAAGCCTCCCTGACCGATTCTCAGTGCAACAGTTCGATGACTATCGCTCTGAGCTGACCATGAGCTCGCTGGAGCTGATGGACTCGGCCCTGTATCTCTGCGCCAGCAGTGCTGACACAGCCCTGCACACTCGGCAGCCTGCTGTACAAAAAGCTTCCTCCCCAGCTCAGGAAGTGACCGCGAGGGTGGCAGCTGCCAGCCACACAGGCGCAGGCCCGAGCAGAGCAGACTGCCTCTCTCAAGCATCCTTCTACTGCTTGTAGATATGATGTGTATTTACACTCACAAAAATCATGCCACAGAAATACTTTTTTTTTTTTTTTTTTTTTTTTTTTTTTTACCCATTTCTCTATCTGATGGTAAGTAACATTCCCAGGTCTCCTATTTCATAACTGGAAGAACAAGAAATTAAACTCAAGTCTGTTCCTCAATTCCTGTGATTGTCCCCCAGCCCCCAGCATGCCCCACATCTGACCTCCCTTTTCCAGGTCCAGATTATAGGCCTGGGAAGATCTCTCATCATCGGGGCTTGTTGGAATCTCTCCCCTGATGGCTTCAGGAACATCTGAAGGCAATGCATATCCATTGACCATTCATTGTCACAACAAAGAAAGGCACTAGTTTCTACACTGAAGGCCTTTCACCCCACACGTAGGCTGTTTGACATCTTTCATGGGGGCTGTGCTAGCAGAAAGCTTTCCATATGTGTTTTCCCAGCTGCAGCAAAAAGGGGATGAGATATTTGCCGTGAGAAGAACAGTCTTCCTGCGAGGAACACAATGGCCACAAAGGGAAGGAAGAAGAATAACAGTTACTCCTTCCTTTGTTCTTTTTGTTCAATAAGTTCTGCTCCTATATTTTGTACAAGGAATTGTATCACATAAAACAGAAAATTAAAATGTTTGGGGTGTTTTGTTTTGTTTTTTTGCCTTTGAGAGTTTTAAGGTCTAAGTTGTGATTTAAACATGAATCTACTGATTTAAACATGAATCTTATCCAAAAACATCCTCACAGAAGCATCCAGATCAATATTTAACCAAATATCTGCAAACCTCATGGTTCAGTCCCACTGATGCATTTAATTAGCCATCAGACCATAGCCCAGGGTTGTATAGATACAATAAGGTTAAAATAGGACATAATTGGAATCTGGATCTTGAGACCCTTTTTAGTCTCTGACAGCTTTCCTTACCATATTTTATGTGCAAAGTAGATACAGACATACTTTGTCTAGAAACTGTATATAGTTCAGGATTTTAGACGTCACATAAATGCTAATATTTATGCCTGATGATCCATTAGAATTAGATGATATTCACTAGAGCACGTAACATACATCTGTCCTTAGACATTTAAAATAACTATTACTGATGTGAATTATATACAATGAATATTTCAGACTTTAAGTGAGGAGAGCAATGACTTTTGAATCATATACAGGGTGTCCTAAAAATGTACACACACTTTGAATAATTATTAATTCCATTGGGTTAAATCTCAAAAGAAAGAAACATCAATTGAGCTATCTGCTGTTAAAGTATATATACATTTTTGGGGACACCTTGTATTAATAAAAAGCATAATATGCTTATTAGACTGGACCTGGGAAGCCCAGGTCCCAAGTGCCAGCAGCTGGGGGAAGGAGGGCCTGCTCTCGCACAAATTTCGTGCATCAGGCCTCTTGTATAGATATAAATGCTTTTAACACTTCCTCATAAAGCTAGAGAACATTTTCATCACCCAGAGAGTTCTCCCATGTCCCTTTACAATGCCTCAATCCATCACTGACAACCAATGACATGATTTCTATCTCTAGAGATTAGTTTTGCTTAGGCATCTTTTTAATATACATTTATCATCTCTACCTATTAAAACAAATCCTCATTAGTGCACAGCTAAGTATTTAAGAGCATGAGGTACTCCTAGAGAGCATTATGGATAAAGACACCTGATCCACGTCAGCAACAATTCTACCTGGGACTAGATGGTTTGATAGAATGACCCTCACAAGGTCTTTCCAGATGGTAAAGCTATTTTTATAAAATGTATTTACTGATTTTCACTCATTTCTTGCGCCCATTCATTCTAATTATATTGTAATGATATTTTGGCTAAAGTCATCATATCTAAGGAAATACTTTTGAGTTCCCATCAGATACACATGTTCACATATTGTGAGCTGAGGCTGAGGTCCACGGGGAAAGTGACTTCATGGAGAGATCATTTTGCATTGGGAAGAGGATTCCCTCACCTTGACCTCAGGGTCTAATCCACAAAACAGGAATCTTGAGCTAGAAAATCCCACTTTTTGTTCTATGCTTGCATGGGTACCATTATTATGTGCTGTGTGTCCTTCTTTGTCCAGGACCAGAGAAGTCCTGGGACAAACATAGAGCCCATTTGTGGGGCTGGCCAGGCCCCAATTCAAGGCTTGTCATTGTGCTTCCAACATCAGGCTCCTCCTCCAGTTCTGAGTTTAGATTCTGTGTCCTCCTCTCCTAGGCCTGGATGTGGTTGTGCTAAAGGGAAATCAGCACCGCAGGAGGTGACCACAGGTTTGAAACTAAAATTTATGTAGTTGAGACCAGCTACACAACTGGCAGAATCTGGGGTCCAAAAAGTAATACTTTGAAGATAATGACAGCAGGGCATTGAAGCAAGTGTGGCATCCTTCTAAGCATGGGACTGTGTGTAGATTAGCTACAGGGTTTTTAAGAGCCATTATATTTATTATTTAATTAAGTCAGTGATACTTCTCAAGGAGATAGCCCCTGTGGAATGGATATCTCAAACTATAAAATAACATTTTTTCACTCACTCACCCTGGAGTTGGCCATGTCTCCCCACGGCCCTCACACACCTGTAATCCATGGCGCCAGTAGGTCATCTGCAGAGCTGAGCAGCCACAAAGAAAGGTTGGTCACAGGTATGAGCTGGATCTGCTTGCCATTGTCTCACCCCAAACACGGGAAGCAAATGCTCTGGAGAATATGAAGGTGTTCTGGCTGCATTTGGCAGGTGTCCCACCTGACAGTGAATTGATAGGAAGCAGAGGGAAAGGATTCCTCCAATATGGACAAGCCTGCCCCTGGGGCTTGGCAACCAAAGAGCAGGAAGATTTCTGTGGGTAGAAGGATATTGATGGGATAGTGGTCAATTAAGCAAAGTAGAAAGGGATGCTTGAAGGACTATTTGGGACCCATGTGTTAGAAAAGACATCAAAAAGCCATCAGGATTTTCCAAAAGATTCAAAAGTACAGAAATATGTAGATACACAAAACCAAAGTATGAATTAAGATTTATATCACAGAAAGAAAACACACCTAAAGCTACACACTTGGTGTAACTGTTGTCAAAAGATTAAGAGCGACTTGTAAGACTTGTGTTAATTCATTCCAAAGCAGTCTTCTCATTCTAAGCTGTTCACTTGTACATTTATTTTTTAAATATATTTTTATTGATTTCAGAGAGAGGAAGAGAGAGGGATAGAAGCATCAATAATAAGAGAGAATCATTGGTTAGCTGCCTTTCACATGCTCCCTACTGGGGATTGGGCCCCCAATGTGGGTATGTCCCCTGATCGGGAATCAAACTGGTACCTTTGGGTTCATAGTTCTACACTCAACCAGTGAGCTACACCAGCTGGGCTAATTTTGATTTGATGTTCTGGGGGAAGGGGCGTGGCTCCGGTGACACGTTGGCTCTGGGCTCCAGGCAGTGAGCGTGACATCTCAGAATGACTCCCTGGAGAGCCCTGTTCCCTTTCATCGGCACACAGACCCAGAGGAAAACTCTCTCTGCCCTGCCCCTGCCATGGCTCTCTGCCGCCTGAGCTGTGTGGCCTTCTGTCTCCTGCAGGCAGGTGAGTCCTGGCTGGGTCTTTCCCATGGATGAAAATTTGAAGATTCTACCACTAAGTCTTTCCGTGGAGGCTGCAGCATCAATTTAATTTTTTTCTCCACAGGTCTGGTGAACGCTGACATCACTCAGACCCCAAAATTTCAGATCTGGAAAACAGGACAGAAAGTGACATTGAAATGTACCCAAGATATGAGCCACAACTACATGTGCTGGTATCGACAAGACCTGGGCCAAGGGATGAGACTGATCTATTACTCAGTCGGTGTTGGGGCCACTGAAAAAGGAGATGTCCCCGAAGGGTACAGTGTCACTAGATCAAAAACAGGGGACTTCCCCCTTACCCTGGAGTCAGCGACTCCCTCCCAGACATCTATGTACTTTTGTGCCAGCAGTGTATCCACAGCGCTGCACAGCTGCCTCCTCTCTGCACAAAAAGGCAGGAAGAGGCCCTGCATCCTGGACTTAGGGGGGCCCTATACAAACTCCACACTGTGGAGCCCTCAGTGGCCTGAGCCAGCTGTGTGTGGTGAGATCCACCTCCAGGAAAGTGTCTGCCGAGCCTAGACCAGAACCGAGCCTTGGGCAACCCTCCCTACTATTGCTGTTTGTCTGTCCGTCCTCTACAGCTGCCCTGTTAGCTGGGAAGCCACTTCCTCAGCTCTACCTTTTCTCATCATGAGCCTGAGTCTGATGCCTTTAGGGTGGAAGGTCATCAATAACTCAGATTCCCTCTTGTATATTAAACACTAGTGTCCTAAAAATCAATGTAGTGGAGTCCTCTTCCATAAAGAAGCTATGGGAAACGTATTGCTAACTGCATGGTGAACTAGAAGGACATGAGACTTTGCTATGGGCCAGGAAACTCAATATAACCTGGAAGTTAATACACAGAGAGGGCACTTGGTCATGACCTGCAGAAAAATAGAAGGTTCAGCTCAGGCACTTTCCCAAGAATCATTCCATCGTTTGTGTCTCTGAATATGCCAGTGTATTCCCGGGCAAAGCCAAGTCAGACCCCGATGCCAACCCTCACCTAAGAAATGGATAAGGTTGAGCATATGTGACTGGTAGAGAGGAGGGCATGGTGACAGAAAGAGGGATGCTCACAGGAGATCCTGACTTGCAGATAAGACAGTGAATTCATCTTTAGTATCTGGTATTTATGCTGCTGTTGACTTGTCTCAGTGAAAATGCCCAGGGAACAGGAATGAGTGCTAAAAGAGAAGAAAAGCTTGGAGATGTGGTGAGATCTCTCCATCCAGCCAGCACAGAAGTCCACAATGTCAGTCACACATTGAAGTTTTTGAAAAAAGGAGTTATAAAATTTTGAATAAGTCATCCAAGAGTCCTGTGATATATATCACATGCCCTTGAGGTTGAGGGGATTGATATAACTGTGAGCTGCTGTTCTGTATTTTGGATATAAAAATGATTGTCTTTTCTTTTTTGCATTTTGTATATTTTTAGTGATGACGTTAAAAGAACCTTCTCACACTTCAACTTGTGTGTCTTTATTCCTATTTTAGACTAAACATTATTTCCTTCCATTTCTCCTTTCCACAAAATAGTTTTAAGGAAACATATTTTAGACTATACCTGCCAGATAATGTGATAACAGTTAAGTAGAATGCAGATGAGACATTAAGTGAGGTAAGTCAAAGGAATAGAGTTGGGTTTGAATGAATATTGACATTAGAGCTTTCAGACTTCGAGCATACAAGTTAAAAGATACTGCTTCTGGGGAATATTCTCCCTGCTGATCCTGCAAACTCTTCCCAGCATCCTTGGGACCACTGCAGAAGGAACAATGAAGAAACTTGGAAACTTGAATTCTTGGCCACCAGATGGCACCGTGATGCCATTGGTATCTAAAGAGCTCTGGGGACATTCTGGGAGAACGGAGAAGAGTTAAGAAAACTTGGGCATGAGTCCAACATTGGGCAGATGTTGAAGAAGTTTTCAGTTATTGCAGGGCTACCTCTAGCTATGAAAGAGGTGGGAGGTCCCTCTAAACATTAATGAGATCAAGAGTAAAAGGATTTGGGCAAGGCAGCCTTGATGGCAGGGACAGATACAGACAGAGGCAATTATCTCAGAGAAATGTGGGAAGCCTACACTCAGTGCATCCAAGCCATAACCCATCTCCCCTGCAGGCCCTGCTGAGCTAGTACATCTACGAGAGGAGTTGCTGATTCAACCTGAGCAAAGTCTGTAGGAGCCCTGGGCCATGGAGCCTCTGCTGAATGGGAGGCCGTTACATCCCAGGAAAACCTGTCTGCCCACTGGAGAAGGGCCCCTGAGCACCCTCTCAGTCTGTAGTCAGACCAATTAGCTGGGACAGCCCCATCTCGCCCTGACCTGGTCATGCCCCCGCCTCTTCTGTGTGATGCGTCATCTCCTTGTAGCAGGTGAGCTCTGCTTTCAGCTGGAAACCTCTGCCAGGGGTTTGCAAAGTCCCAGCTCCAGTCCCCCCACCTCTTTAAGTATCCAGCTTATCCCTCAAGCCTTGTCTTTAGCTACATCTGCTTCTCCAACAGGCCCCAAGGATGCTGCAATCGCCCAGACCCCTAAGGTATTATATTATACAATCAGGAAAGAAGGTGACCCTGAAATGCTCCCAGGATGTGTGCCACTGGTTTCAACAATACGCAAGACAGGGGCTGAGGCTGACGCATTATTCACGCAGTTTCAGCAGCACTTCCAAAGGGGATAGTCATAGAAGGGTACCATGTCTCCTGTAACAAGAATGAGCATTTTCTTGTGACTTTGAAGATGGCCAGCACCAACCAGACCTCTTTGTCCTCTGTGCCAGCAGTGAGTATACAGCGATGGGCAGCCAATTGCCTTCTATACAAATAGGGCAGGCATAGTGTGTGTGTGTGTGTGTGTGTGTGTGTGTGTGTGTGTGTGTGTGGCGGGGCACTCCTTCCTGAGGCCCCTGTCTCACCAGGAGAAAATCTTGCCCCTTCTGATGCTCTCACTCAACTCCTCTGCAATGGAATGTCAGTCTGAGGGGTTCCAGTGAGAACCTCAGCAGCGTGACCCTCTGTGTGAACTAAGATCCATCATCTTGGGGTGTGCCTGTGTACCCGTTGTTGTGTAAGTGCAAATAGCATTTTATTGGGAATATTCTGGTAATTGAATAAGCAGAGGAACAGTAGCATTCAACATGAAATTCATATTTGGTGGCTACTTAGAAAAGCTGTTCCTGTCAGCAGAGGCTCCATTGATCGAGAGAAGCCCCATTTATGAAGCCTTGTAATTTGGGGACATCTATTTATTTTAGAACTGCCTTAGCAACAGAGGAGGCATCTTGATAAGGAAGTGAGGACAAAAGTCATTATGAAGATAAATGAATTTCTAGAGGATACTAGAAGCCCAGCCTGCGAAATCGCGTGGCCCTGCCCATCTGCGCTGCCTGGACATTCTCACAGCCCTGCCCACCCAGGCACACAGCCCCGCCCACCCATGCAGGACTTTGGTCTTATGGCATTAGGGCCAATGGGTTTTTATAATATAGATTGTTGTTTTGCCTCCAAATTTAATAGAAGGACCTAACCAACTTAGATCAGAACTCACCAGAGGCACCATTTTATTCCCAGAAGTTTTGAATTTTGAGTTCAAACTGCTCTCAGGGGAAAACGGGACAATCTCCCATCCATACCCCCACCCTCCAATACACACATATCCCACTGTTGCCCAAATCATAAAAAGGACAGGACTCTCTAATTGAGATTGATCAGGATGAAGATTAGAATTAGGAGACCTCAAAGGGAAGGTGAAGACCTCAACTGTAACGTGCTGTTGAGTTCAGGTGGAAATGTTTAACTAAAAACGTTAAGAGAACAAGACACTAGAGAATACTGGCTAGATAGGGAGTGTGGGATCCGAGCAATAAGACATGGGAGCTCAGAGGGATGACAACCAAAAATGAAAACAGAGTCGGTGTGTATTTATATTCATGTTTGAATTACTATTTCTCATTCATTCTCTTTCACAATTTTCATCTTTCAACATTTCTGATTATGAGTGACAATATATTTTCTTTCTTTCTTTCTTAAGAGTAGTTAACAGAATGGTGCATCTCAGAGTTGCTAGCATCTGAGATATAATTAATTCATTCATTATGTAATTAGTTAATATCAGAAAATTCTGAGGCTCAGTGATGTCACTAAGGAAGTGCCATGTGGGGATAAGGGCAGTCCCTCCTCCTCTGCTCATGCTCACAAGGACCCTGATCTGGGGAACCTCCCATTTCTGTCCTGACCCTGCCATGGGCACCAGGCTCCTCTGCTGGGTGACCCTCTGTCTCCTGGGGGCAGGTGAGTCCTCAGAAGACCAAGTCCTTTCATTGTGTTTTATGTGTGTGTTTGATGATCACAATTATTTGTCCTTATTCTATTTCCAACTTCTGTCTCTATAGGTCACACAGATGCTGGAGTGTTCCAGTCCCCCAGGCACAGAGTCACAAGAAGGGGACAGAATGTCACTCTCAGGTGTGATCCAATTTCTGGACACCGGGTCCTTTATTACTACCAACAGACACTGGGGCAGGGCCCAGAGTTTTATATATTTATTTTCAAGGCAAGGAAGCCACAGACAAATCAGGGATGCCTAAAGAGCGGTTCTCTGCTTCTGCTGAGAGGTCTGATGGCTCCTACTCCACTCTGGAGATCCAGCGTGCAGAGCAGCAGGACTCGGCCATGTACCTCTGTGCCAGCAGCTTAACCACAGCATGGCACAGTCACCCTCCTCCTGCTCTCAAACCCTCATGTGCTCACCTCTCCTCACAGTTCCCAAAGTCCTTAACAAAGGAGTGGATTAAGTGCATTGGGACTTTAATTGTTGTTCTGATAGTGGGGGGTCAGGAAATGACCTTCAAAATACCAGAACAGGTCACCTTGGGTAGTGACATTTTGCCTAGTTTTCTAGGATTCCTTATACAGATCAAGATTCTATAACTGAGACTGAGGTTAGTGTCAGGTATGGTCTCTTGTAAAATATAAAGTTTGAACACAATTACAATAAACTATTGGCACTGGACATCACCGACTCAGATGACACTAAACTTCAGTGTGGTCCACCAATGCAGAGCACAGTCCTGGCCTCATGTAGCCAACAGTCTTAAAATATACACATTAGAATCCTCAGTAAGAACTGTCATTGAGTGCTCAATGGTTAAGCATTGACCCATGAAAAGAGTGATTGCTGGTTCGATCCCCAGTCAGAACACATGGGTTGTTGGCTAGAATTCCAGTGGGGAGTGTGAAGGAGGCAGCCAATCAATGTTTTTCTCTCATTGATGTTTTGATCTCTCCCTCTCCCTTCATCTCTCTCAAATCATATATATATATATATATTAATATATATACATATTAATTATATATATAATATATAATTAATATATATTAATTTAAAAAATTATCCAAGAACATCTGTCAGCCACAATAATGCATGTTAATGTACAGCTATATATTGTTTTATTATTTTTCTTTACGATCATCTATCTTCTTCTCAAATCTATTTTGAATAGAAATTTAAATTTAGCTTGGTTTATTAAACACCCTACTTGAGATAATGTTAAAGAAAAGTGATTCAAAGAAGACCTGAAAAACAGTTACAGTATCCCCCCTTTATTTTGGGGGGATATTTTCTAGAACCCTAGTGATAGTATAGATACTTTCCAAGAAACTGCTGGTAGTACTGAACCCTATATATACTGTTTACCTTTGTGCTTTTGGGCCACTATTAGGTGAAATAAGGGTGACTAGAACATAAGCACTGTGATGTTGTTACAGTCAATGTGATAATCAACTGAGACAGCTACTAAGTGACTAATGTGGGTTGTGTACACAGAATTGATATGCTGGACAAAGGGTTGGTTCATGTCCTGCATGGGACAGAACCAGATGGCACAAGATTTCATTAGGCTATTCAAAATGGTGCTCAAGTAAAACACTTTGGAATTGTTTATTTCTGGAATTGACCATTTAATAATTCTGAAGGGTGCTTGATTGCTGGTAACTGAAACTTTGGAAAGCGAAATTGCAGATAAGGAGGGACTATGGTACATAAAAGTAAAATGTATGACAACAAGAGAAAGACAGAGAGCAGATAAATTATCTAACCATTGTAAGGATTACCTAGTCTATGTTTGGTGGTATAATACCACTTCAAGGTAGGCTGTGTTAAGGCAAATATGTAAATTGCAAATTCTAGAGCCACCACTAAAATATTAAACACAGAATTATAACTACTAAGTCAATAAAAAATAGAGATAATGGAATCATTAAAATAATACCCAAGAGGACATAAAAAGAAGTAAAGAGGGGCAAGCAAAAGATGGGGCTAATATAACAAATAGCAAGTTTATGATAGATACTAATGAACTAGATCAATAGTCATACCAAATCAAAGTAGTCTCAATGCCCAAATAAAAAGCATAGATTGTGATTTTGAGTAAAAATGAAAAATCAATAACTGTATGCTGCCCACCAGAAATATACTATGAACATAAAGACTCAGAAGAATGAACAAGATATACCATGCTAACACTAAGCACAGGAAAGCTGGAGCAGCAATAATAACATCAGACAAAGTCAATTTCAGAGGAAAGAATATAGTCTGGGATAAAAAAAACACACCTCATATTCTAATGATGAAAGGACAAAATGATCAAGAAAATATGGCAATCATAAATATTTATGATCTAAAAAGAAAGTTTAAAACCCTGAAGAAAAACAGTAAGGAGAAACAAACAAATTTACAATTATAGTCAGACATTTGAACACCTGTCAGTAATTGGTTGAATAATCTGACATCCTCCCCCACAATAAAGTTAGTGAGGAAACAGAAAACATTAATAACATTGAGCACCTTGGCCCAAGTAACATTTATAGAACAGATCACCCAATATCAGCAGAATATAAATTCTTATTGAGTGCACTTGGACCATGGCCAGTATACTATAGACTTTGGGTATAAAATAAATATCAACACATTTAAAAAATAATTCAAAAGTGTGTTCTTTCACAATAGAGGAACTAAATTAGATACCAACAGAAAGAGTATGGGAAAACTTCCAAATATTTGTAAGTGAAATAACAATATTCTAAATAATCCATGGGGCAAAGAAGAATACAAAAGGAAAATTATAAAGGAATTTTAATTAAATTAAAATGAAAGTATATCATATTAAAATTGATAGGATGACCCTAAAGGATTACTTAGTAGGAAATCTGGAAAACAGGGAATAATTCCCTACTCACACTGAGGCCAGCACTACTATGCTATTCAAATGAGACCAAGATATTAACATATAAAAAATCACCAAAAAAACCCCGATAGACCAGTATACCTCAGGAACACAGATTAATAAACTTTATAGAATTCCATATCAAATAGAAAACATCTATAGAGGATAATAAATCATTACCAAGAAGGGTTTATCTCAGAAATGTAGAGTTTAACATTCAAAAATACGAAATGCAGTTTAACCTCTCAAATACTAAAGAAAGGAAAATCATAAGATAATCTCTATAGGTGCCAAAAAAAAAATACTTTATACAATCCAACATTTGTTCCAGATACAAACTCTTAGTAAATCAAAAGTAATTGGAAACATCCTTCCCCTAATCAAGGGCATTTATGAAAAAACCTATGGTTAATAGACATTTTTGCAGGTAAGATAAAGATGCATGTTGTGATCTCTAGATCAAACACTAAAAGTACCACAAAAAGGGGGGAAATAATCATTTCAACAATAGTGCTGGAAAACTGTGTGCATATGAAAAATAATCTCAATCCTGATCTCATTCCATAAACCAAGAGTGGGCAAAATCTGGCCTCTGTTTGTTCTTATAAGGCCCAGAAGCTAATTAACAATGTTTGTAACATAGGAAAATTATATGAAATTCAGATTTTAGTATCCATACACCAAGTTTATTGGAGCACAGCTATACTCTCTCACTTGTGTGGTGTCTCTGGCTCTTTGACACTGCAGGGGCAGAGGTGGGGAGTTGGGACAGAAAGCCAAAATCTTTACCATCTGATTCTTTCCATAAAAAGTTAGCTGGTAATTCCATAAACAAAAATGAATATAAGATGGGTCAGCTTTTTCAATTATCTATAAAGCTTCTGAGAGAAAGCAGAACAAATTCTCTTCATGACCTTGGAGTAGGCAAAGATTTCTTTGATAGAACCAAAAATATTCTAATTTTTAAAAAGCACATTTTACTTTGCCAAAATTTTAAAATCCTGTTCATCAAAAGATATTAAGAAAGGACAAGTATCCAAAATAGAAATAATTTCTACAAATCAATAACTTAAAAGGTAAGCAATTCAATTTTGAAAAAAGAACAGAAAGTTAAACAAAAGAGTTGTCAAAAACAGAGCAAAACAACCACCCAAGATCTATAAGTAGGCAGTTCCCTCTTAATAGAGGGTATATTTCCAGCTGCTTAGATTTTTTTTTGGCTAGTAAAACCCTAAGGTCAGGAATTCCCCAGGAATTATCTTTGGTTAACAAGAACGCTTCAACAAAGGTGCCTTGACCCCTTCCCAGGGCAGCTGCATACATTGTGTCTCTCTCCCAGAACAATCATTGATGAGATATAGACTTTGAATTTTCTTCTTAGAAAAATGCGCCATGCTTCCCTCACTACCATCTGCTAAGGCTGAGCTGAGACAGGTAAACATCACAACAGCAGGAGCTTGCATTGTCCTGGCTGGTCCTGCTCCTAATTCAGACAGAACCCAGCCAGCCTGGGCAGTGTCAACACAGCTACTACACAAGCGGCCACTTGAGGGCGCTGTGGATCCACGGAGTGAGCTACTAATGGGGCCCTGTGGGAGGCAGAGGGTTAAGGGAGAAAGTCTTGGCTTGGTCCTTACATCTGATGAATCAGAGGTTTGCTGATCATATCTTCTCACATTAACTGCTATGCAGGTGTGTTGTCACAGCAGGGAGCCATGAGTTTGGCCTTCCCTGGAGTTAAGTCCTCTTTTGGAGCATATGTTTGGTGAAGAGTGAGATGGGACTTCCGTCAGCTTGAAGCTTGGATAATTCAAGCCAGGAGCACATACTCCTAGGAAACAGAGAAGCTGTGAGGATGGACACCTGCCAAAACCTCTGCCTGGCCCAGCTCAGCACAGCCAGCAGCACTTGTTCATAGGAAGATGGGCAGAAAGTCTAGCCCAGTGGTCAGCAAACTCATTAGTCAACAGAGACAAATAACATTGAAATTTCTTTTGAGAGCCGAAAACAGACTTCTGCGCATGGGCCAGGATGTTTCAATCGCACTATATGTGCGCACCTGCATGTTGTATTTTGTGGAAGAGCCACACTCAAGGGGTCAAAGAGCCACATGTGGCTCGTGAGCCGCAGTTTGCCCACCACTGGTCTAGACCAACTACGTCTGTCAGGAAGTGCAGGTTGTGTGGGAGCCTACAAGGATAGTGACATCAGAACAGTGACATCACCAAGTCTTCCAGTCAGAGCAAAGTGATACTCAAAGCCTCTGCTCTCTCACCCCAAACACCAGAGCCCAGAGTGGGAAAATGGCCAGTCTTGTCCTGCCTGAATCTTCCAGTGGCCCCTGGCTCCTCTGCTGCGTGGCCCTCTGTCTCCTGGGGGCAGGTGAGTCCTGAGTTTAGGTGGGACATCCCTTGAGCCCAAAGTTCTTGACTGTTGGTGGCCTGTCAATCTGCTTCCTGTGTTGGTCTCCAGCTTCTGTCTGCTTCCTCCACAGGTTCCATGTCTTCTGAAGTCACCCAGTCCCCAAGACACCTAATCAAAGGCCAAGGAGGGAAGGCCGTTCTGAAGTGCCATCCCATCTCCGGACACAGCTATCTGTACTGGTACCAGCAGGCTCTGGGCCAGAGCCCCGAGTTCCTCATTAGTTTTTATGAAAAGAAGGAGGGAAAGAAAGGAAACATCCCTGATCGGTTCTCGGCAGAACAGTTCAATAACTACAGTTCTGAGCTGGCCATGAGTACCTTGCAGCTGGGAGACTCAGCTGTGTATTTCTGTGCCAGCAGCTTAGACACAGCCCTGCAGGGTCAATGGCTTTCTGTACTCAAACCTCCCTGTCCCAGATGAGGATGTCACAGGAGAGGGAGGGGCCTTAGCAAGTTATAGAGCTAGCTTCTTTGGCAACATCCTCCCTGCCCTGCTGAGCTTAGCCAGAGCTTTCCTGAGTGTCCTCCCAGCTCTGCCAGCACCTGGCAATTCCTAGCACATGGCAGGAACTCCTGCTGTGATGGAGTGGGGTCCATGTTGTGTGTGCTAATGCATGGTAGACATTGTGTATCCACTTTAAAGAGGAGGAAGCACTCAGTATACCATTTCATAGGCAGGAAGTTTCAGCCCTTGGACATCTCAAATATTTCATATATGTCAACCCTACATCTCCAGGCCTCCAGAGTCAACATTGCTCAGAATTCCATGGTGCTGCCTGGGTCTGGTTCATAAGATAGAACAGAGCTGTGACTCTCCCATTTCAATGGGATGGGGGGGGGGGGTGTCACACATCATTTGGGGTTACACAGCTGATTGCCTGCTGACTTCTAAGACACAGAGCCATGTCACAGAACATGCCTCTGTCCTGTCCTAGTTTATATAGAGGGAGGCCATGAGGTCCCCTAATGAAAGAGCTTAAATGACTAGGGTAATTTTCAGACTAACAGAAGATTCACCAAGAAACAGAAGCCCTCTAGGAATTTCAGGCCAGATTCTAGGAGTTACTACAGGTGATCAGTGTTTCTAAACTTGGAAGGTATGGAGGAGGGAGGTTGTCAACTTGCTCCCACTTTCTATCAGAACATCTGAAATCGCTTCTTCTGCCCAGGCCAGAAACTGCAGACAACACCTGAGCATCACAGCTATTAAATGAATAATACAGACATTTACAGATTAGGGTACAGAGTTGATCGGTGAATGCAGATGACTTTAATTCCACACATTTTGTGTATTTAATATAATCACCTTGTTTATTGCACATTTTCTGTGAGGTAGCACAAATCACTCACATTACAAGTGAAGACACTGATTGTTAGAGAGTTTGAATACTTGGCTAACGGAGGTACAGCTAACAAATATCAGAATTGGGACACAGACATAGGCCATACTGACTTCCACCGACGCTTTCAATCACCGCACTCTTCTGCATCTGATAGAGAGAGGCATCTTCAAAACGAGAACATGGACCCAAAGGTCCCTTTCAGAAATGCAGGCTCTAACACACATCATTTGCATAACAGCTTTCATCTGGGAGGGGACCTGCTGAAGAGGAAAGAGATCCAGCTTCCCAGACCTGTCTATTCATATTCTGACCTGCCTTGGGACGGTGACTCAGAAAATATTTGTTTGAGTTTTGCCTTTGTAAACTGGGGCCAATAATGGGTGTTTTGTAATGATTTAACAAAAGGAAATATGAAAAATTGCTTAATAAAAAATATAGGCTCAAGTCCTCTTGGTTCTCTATAAACTCTGTGACAAATATCTGGTGTAGCACAATTATTTACTATGTGCAGTTCTGGGATAAAAGGCAGGTATGGTTACTTTTGCCTGACTCATCTATGGCTCAGATAGAAACTTCTTTGAAATGTAAATATTATTATCTGATAATTTATTGGGTGAGATTTACTATAGTAACTGCTTCTTAAGGGAAAAATGTAAAGGGGACCCAGGACAGCACTTCCTGTTTGATGTTAAGTCTGATGTACAAGAAGGTGTGGTGCTTCCAGAAAGTTGTGGCTTCAGAGTGATTGTTGATCACAAAGAAGAGCTGATGGAAGGGACGGTTTTGTGTGAAGAGAGACCATCATAGTGGAGCCTCCAGTGCCGTCCATCCATTCCCGGCCCACGTCTGGTATCAGCCTCTGCTGCAGTGGATAATTACATGCAAGTTTGTGTGCGTTTACCTGGTTCTGACAGCACCCCTTCGCCTGCCAGCTAGGAGTCCCTCAGCTTTCTGCTATGGCCTCCTCTCTATCATAGGAACTCAGGTGGCCTGCATAGCAGAGCAGTCAGAGCTGCAGAAGTGCTTACTCTCCTGGAAAGAAAGGAGCCAGGGATGAGACCTCAGCCTCTGAATTCAGGAGGACAGCTCAGTAGGTGGTCTGTGTGCTTCTCTGCAGGTTCCAATAAAATCCATAAATCTATTTCTTGATGTCTCTATGCAACTATGATATTGCACCTTATTTAGGTTTTCTCCTTCCTGGTTCCTCCCTCCTTGTTCTCTTTTTCCTGCTTCCTGAGATCATTTCCAAAATAAACTACTTGCATCTATGCCTGTGTCTCACACTGTGCCTCCAGGGGCAGGCTATATGGTGACAGTGATGGGAGGAAGTGACCATCAAAGGACCCATCCCTTTGGAAGACACAGCTATTTTTGTTTAATTCATTCTGCCATCCTATCTCTCAAAAAGTCTTACAATATCAGATATAAATTATTTCCCCCAGTTTACTTTAGCTTATTTTTAATTCTCAACAGATTCACAAGGGTCTCTGCTCCCTTCAAGCTCTGAACCTCTTTGTGACTGACTAGACTTGGTTATATTTATAGAAGTGGAGTCTGCCTGGTCTCTGGAAATCTTTCATTTCTTTCACTCAATGAACCCTAAGTGAATCAGGTAAAGAGTGGATATATGCTTGTATATTATTAAGGTACTCTACTAAAAAGGAAAGAAAAAAAAAGATTCAGAAGTCTTGGAAAGGTCCTGTGAGAATGAGAAGGCCTGAAATTATTCTTCATTGCCTGCACGGCCCATCCAGCCTTCACTACTTACTATGCACAGGCATTATCCAGGAGCTTGGGAAAAATCAGTGCAAAAACACAAGGACAAGAAAAATACTTTCTGATGACATATATTTTTTAATCAACACAAAATTTGTGATTCTAATTCACTACTTTAAAAAAGAATGGCATAGGAACTATTCCTAGTAAATGTATATCTCCCTAAAGAAATTAGGGTATCACTGAGAATGCTAACAAAATGGAAAGATTATATGTTCTTGTGAGAATAGTCCACAGATCTCTGGGATCCATGTACTCTAACCCAAACAATGCGAGTCCTCACTGAAAAACTCCTCTTTTTCACATTGGCCCCGCCTAGAAAGTAGGCTGCTTTGCTCTGTGACTCTTAGTGCCCTGGGAACAGTGAAGTCCTGGATAAGCTTCCTGGATTTACCAGGCGTCCAGCTGCAAGCCTTTCCGGGTGATGACCATTTACCTCCTCCTTGCCTCTGATTTCTGACTTCAAGTCCTTTGTCACTGTTGTGTGATTATAGCTGCCCATTGAGATAACATCAAGATATATAGTTACAGAAATGGGGTCACCTCAGACTGAAATATAACCTGTATAAGAAATAGAAGCATGTACTGATGGACTAGCTGCAAGCTTGGCACTGTAGCACATTTATGATTCAATCAATATTCTCCTATTTGGTGGGTGAAAGACCTTCCTGGAGATGTAAGAAGTGTGTAGCTCAGACTGAATTGCTCATCCACATTAATAACCAGCCTCCTCTTTTTCACAAAAAGCACAGTCACAGGGTTGCAGGTGAAACAGTCTTCTGTGGCTTCAGCTGAAACCAAGGGAGAACTCTTACCCATGAGCATGTAGAGACCTGAGCACAGGTGGCAGGGCTCCCATCAGTCAGTGAATTGTGAGACAATGTAAAACAAGTCTTCAGATTCCAATGACCCTGACCTTGGGGCTTTGACATCAGATGGTTCCTGTAACTGATAGGATAACTGATTTGTTCCTGTGGGGAAGGTGTGTGGCAGGTGAGGTCTACAGCTCAAGCTTTTATCAAGGACAGTGACATCCCTGAGTCTATTTTCTCAAAACAGAACAGGAAGACATGAGATTCTGCCTTGGACCTGAAATGGTCACCAGGCTCTTCTGGGTGGTTCTTTGTCTCTTGTGGGCAGGTGAGAACAGGTGGGCTTCCTGCCCTGAATACCCAAGACCTCAGTCCAAGCCTTTGTTTTAGGATGACAACATCAAGTCTGTGGCTCTCTCTTTATAGGAAACGTGGATGCCCAAATCACCCAGAGCCCAAGATACAAGGTCACAGGGGCGGAAAAGAAGCAACACTGAGTTGTCACCAGACTAATAATCACATTGTTATGTATAGGTATCGCCAAGACCTGAGCCGTGGGCTGAGTATGATTTATTACTTAGTGTTGGGATCACCTCTAAAGGCGATGTTGCTAAAGTGTCCTTAGACAAAATAAAGAGACCTTTGTCCTCACACTGGAATCGGCAGCCCCCTCACAGACATCTGTGTACTTCTGTGGCAGCAGTGAAGAAGCCATAGAGTTGCAGGGCCACCTCCTCTCAGTACAAAAGGCAGGAAGAGGCCCTGCACCCTGGACTCACAAACCCCTGCACTGGGTAGCCCCCAGTGGCCCTTGTCAGCAGGTTGAACCTCTATGTATGTGGACAACCACCTTTGGGGCAGTTTTTGACAGGTGTTGACCAGACCCAGGGCCTGGAACACACACTCCCCACTGTTGCCGTCTGTCAGTCTGTCCTCTGCAGCTACCCCATTAGCTAGGAAGGTGCTTCCCCAGCTCTAGGTTTTTCACCTCATCAGCTTGAGACTGATGTCTCCAAAGTGGAAAGTCA